CAACCCAGGGGAAAACACAGGGGAGGGGCTGAAGAGAAGAACCCTTTTCTCTTTCTTCTCTTAGAACTTGAAAGAACCAATAGGCCAGATCTAAATACTCTGCCAAGAAAGCCTCCCTCGATATAGAAGACTTGAAATGTTCTGTTGAAAGCAGAAATTAGGCCCCATCCAAGGAAGAGGATAATTAGAAGCTAGAAAAGACAAATTCCAAAATGAACTGTTTCCCACCACCTTAAAAAAAAAAATTAAAGACACCCTCCCTCCCCCAAGGGTCTTTCTCTCCTCACACACTGTCCAGTTTTAAGGAATGACTTGATTTAGTGGTAGAGAGAATTTTCCCCAGTGATCGCAGGGCCAGGCGGTCTCTGGGTTTTGCTTTGATGGTACAGAGAGACATTCACCTTTTCATTGCCTAGCTGAAAGGTAAGTCAGTTGTACTGCAAAATATTTTTCACTTCATCAAACTTTCTTCCTCACCAAGAATTTAGCTGATCATCTTTGCAAACCAGAGTGCCACTTTCTCAGGCTGTGAAAGGCTGCCCCCAATTTGACTGAAATTTCAATCCACTCTTGTGCCTTGCTCAATGCATGTGTATGTGTGGGAGTTGTAAATTGAGGCCTTAACCACCAGAGTTAATCTCTTTTTTAAATCTGTATTAACCTTAATGATTTGAAGTGCACTGTCCAACACTGGGCTATTGAGACCGAAGAAAAAACTGCCCTCGACTATCAACAGTTTATTAGGGGCTTAGCTGAAGTGACCTACTGTAGTAGTGTTCAGCTGAACAAGGCTATAGGCTTTTTGTGGAAAGGGAAAGAATTGAGGGTTTCATTAAAAAGTAATTTGTGCTTTGTACTCACTCATTGAAAGAGAGTCTCAATTGCTCTTTATTCACACAGAGTTAATACAGTATCACAATGTTTCTCAATGAATGTGTTGTAACAAAAGAAAAATTTTACATTTTGAAAGGAAAAAAATTCTTTGTAGCTGCAGTAAAATTGATGGCTACTTAAAAGATTATAGAATCTCTCTTTTTTTTTCCTGTGCTCATGTTAAATGATGGAATACCGTAATTTAAAAATTTTTGGCTTAAACTATGGAAGTTGGACTTTGCGTTCTGATCATTAAAAATATTTTAAAAATGGAGCAAAGTTGGTCAGATATAAGTTTGTCTCATTAGACTTTGTCTAGAAAAAAGTGTTCTGATGCCAACTAAGTATCTTATAGTCTCATCTATACCAGGTCAAAAAATACTCTGCTTAGCTCCAAGAGCTATCAGTGATTTAAAATCCCCCCTCTCCATCCACAGCACTTCTAAACAGATGCTAATTTGAGGATTTGAAGACAGCACCATCGACTCAATTTCCGTTTTTCGAACTGCTGCTGAGTATCATGTAGAGCCCGACTATGATCACCCTCTGAGATGGACAGCATATTTTTTAAGTTCTTCTTTGAACAAGTAAAGAAGAAATTATACAAAGGGCTTATTTGTGCTCCACATTTAATGGTTGAGACCAAGAGGGATTGGTTTACACATAAACATTTATCCTTTCCAGAAGTACAGATTATTTAAAAAACTGATGGCATATTCGGACATTTCTCACTTAAATATATGGTCCTCAGTTTCTGCCACCATCACAAATGTCATAAAGACCACAAAAGGTCCAAGAGGGAGCAAGGTCAAAGACTGAATTATCCTCTTGCCCCTGAATAGTTCAACATCTCTCTTGTTCAATTCAGAGCACATTAGATTATAAGGTCAGTGTGGAATGAGGAATCATTAGATTTATACCCCTAAAACTGGAGGGGAAAAAAATGGAGAATCTGTTATTTAGTATTCCCCAAATTAAAGTTCATTGGATCAGATCAAAATTATGTCTCAGTGAATCCCTAGGGAAAAGACTATTGTTATTCACATTAATTTACATAGAACCATCAGGAAAGAAATATATCTATTTTTTACAGCTTTGAAAGAACATGTACTTTAACTTCCATAGTGGTATATAGGCCAAGTAGGTTAACATAGTTTGCATATTCATGAAGTTTTAAAAGCAATGACAGTTTCTCTCCAAGAGAAACAAACTTATATAATTGCATTCAACTTGTGTGATGGGCAGGCATCTAAGCTTTTGAAGTAAATGGGACTTGAATATTTTCATAAGAATTTATTGTGCCCCTATAAATGTTCAGTAATAATTCTTAGCACTGAGGTGCCCCTTGAGATACTGATTATTTTTAGGCCCTTCTCCCTATCTTCAGAGGTCTTCAGCTCAACACTGGGGGCTCCCCTCCCCTATAGAAAATCCTGAAGACAACTGAAGGTGCCTCCCATGATGGTGAATGTCACATCTGAATTTACCTGCTGTGGGGAATCAGAGGCTAGGTGGAACCTTTGTATGTGAAAGCAATACTGAGTTCCTATTCCAGGCTTTAAGTTAATGTCCACAGTGAACAGGGACACCTGGGTGGCTCAGTGGTTGAGCATCTGCCTTTGGCTCAGGTCTCGATCCCGGGGTCCTGGGATCAAGTCCCCCATCAGGCTCCCTACGGGGAGCCTGCTTCTCCCTCTGCCTGTGTCTCTGCCTCTCTCTATGTGTCCCTCATGAATAAATAAATAGAATCTTTAAAAAAAAAATGACCATAGCAAACAAAAAAAAGAGCAGTTACGGGCTGCTAAGTGGCACAGTTGGTTAAACATCTGACTTGGTTTTGTCTCAGGTTGTGATCTCAGGGTCACAAGATTGACCCCCAAGTGGGTCTCCTCGCTCAGTGTGGAGTCTGCTTGAATTTCCCTCTTCCTCTGCTCCTCCCTCCCCCAATCTCTCTCTCTCTAAAATACATAAATAAATCTTAAAAAAAAGAGCAGTTATTCATTGTTGACTGTTGGTTCTCATATTAAATACAACATAATAAAAGAAAAAAAAGGAAATCATTATGTCCAGATTAATTTGAGTATAACCACATCAGAGGTAAAAAAAGAAAATGAATAAACTTAAATTTGTTTAGTACAAGAAACCAAGTCAGCAAATGTGCAAAAAGATTACAAACTACCTTCTCTCCCATTATTTTCAAGTATGCCTATTTTGAAAGAATATTTGACAGTTGTTACTATCTTCATGGTTACAAATGAGCTGATAATCACCTGTTCAAAGAAACTGTAAACTCTCAACATTTTTATCACACAATCAACAGTCACTTGATACTACACAAATATTAAAAAGTTTAAAAATATTATCATTCTGGAGCAGACATCTACTATTTTAGTTCTAATGCATTTGGTTTTGATTCTGTTCTGTTTAGATTTGATAAGTTAGGGATCCCTGGGTGGCGCAGTGGTTTAGCGCCTGCCTTTGGCCCAGGGCACGATCCTGGAGACCCAGGATCGAATCCCACGTCAGGCTCCCAGTGCATGGAGCCTGCTTCTCCCTCTGCCCATGTCTCTGCCTCTCTCTCTCATTCTGTGTGACTATCATAAATAAATAAATAAATAAATTAAAAAAAAAAAAAAAGATTTGATAAGTTAAAGAAGAGTACCAACCGTAATGTAATGGGTTTACAAGCTCTTAGATGGTAAGAAAGATGCATTTCATCCCTTCAAATAAGCCCACTACCTTATGGGGATCAACCTACTGAACATTCACAGTGATAAGCATATTTCTACAAATAATAAGTGTATGCTTTTTTTCAGGATGAGCAAAATTCATTCAAAAATTGTCCAAGTCAGGGATCCCTGGGTGACGCAGCGGTTTGGCGCCTGCCTTTGGCCCAGGGCGCGATCCTGGAGACCCGGGATCGAATCCCACGTTGGGCTCCCGGTGCATGGAGCTTGCTTCTCCCTCTACCTATGTCTCTGCCTTGTCTCTGCCTCTCTCTCTCTCTGTATGACTATCATAAATAAATAATTTAAAAAAATTTACAAAAATTGTCCAAGTCAGCCAATTTGTTATCCATGTTGAGATAGTCAACTTAAGGCATGGTATAAGTACTGTCCCAAACCTATGGAATTAAGGAGTAAATGAGTGGTCCCTTGATTGCAAATTCAAAACAATGATTTCATTCTGGAAATTTTTTTAATTTTTTTTTTTAATTTATGATAGTCACACACACACACAGAGAGAGAGAGGCAGAGACACAGGCAGAGGGAGAAGCAGGCTCCATGCACCGGGAGCCCGATGTGGGATTCGATCCCGGGTCTCCAGGATCGCGCCCTGGGCCAAAGGCAGGCGCCAAACCGCTGCGCCACCCAGGGATCCCTCATTCTGGAAATTGATAATTATCATTAGTCAACTAATATACCATAGAAACAGCAATATCCAAATCAGGAAGCTTTAAGAGATAAGACTGATTCCAGTGTTTTTACAGGCTCATTTCTTGGTTAAAAAAAATTTCGAACAATGTGGATGCTTAGTTTAGATCCAGAATTATCTCTGGGATGTGCTAAATAATTTTAACATCAAAAAAAAAATGAGTCAGCAACCCAGATACTGGAGTTCATACCACATAATTGAGTATTTTGCATCTAAATTTTTCAGTGGACTATGCAACAGATTTTATGTGTGTTGGACTTGTAAGTGATGATGTTATGATATCATCTGAGGGAAGCTGATACTGTCTGAGAGAAGACACATTACTTCAAAATGCCAAAGTGATGAAACCTGGAAGAAATATTCCCACTATGTTAGCCAAACTTTGGAAAAGGCAACAGTTCAAATGTGATTTAACTTTTTTATTGTTTATTTTTAATACATCACCCTTCTTTTAAAAAGCAGAAACAGTATAAAAATTGGGTGGTTGGCAACTCTTGTAAGATCAAACCTGAATCTTTATATTTATATTATTAACTTTGATGATCCAGTTAGGAGAAATGAAGAGTTTAGTCATTAAATGGTATGGACCCTGCATGCTGTTAGATATGTATGCATCATACATAATAAATATTATAAATATATATTATAAATAATATGTATAATATGGATGACAGAATTGCCTTATTTCTTACCTGTGACATCAGCGACCATCAGCCCTTCTGCTCTGATTACTTTCACCTGGAGAAATCCCACATCTTTCAGGTTGTGAAATATCCGCAATGGGCTCTGAAAGACCCCAATATCAGTGTTAGAAAAGAAAGGTCCTAGAGGGTCTCAAAGAGTGTGTAAGAAAACACCAAGTTTTATGGTAGGTCTCAGGATGCTGCTTAAGTGATTCAAAGGGATATATGTGTTTCTTCTATAGAGTACCCCTCCGCCGTCATTAACATCTGCATACACGTAGGCACATACATACGTATTGATGTAGATGATTGTTGCTATACAGGACCTTTTGAAATAATAAAAATTACCATATTTCTTCCCCATGAATAATTATCAGTAGATGGTGAACTATAAATTATGGAGTAGGCTATGCCTACTTTCTTCCTTCAATCTACTTTACCAAAGCAATCCAAGAAATCTGTCATCTATGGGCATGATGGTTTGGAGACTAATGATTGTAGATACTGAGTCGTAGCTTGTTAGCCATGTGACACACATCAGCCTTTAGGATTAAGAAAGTCTATATTAATTTTTTTTTTTTACTCTTTTCTTCTTGGTGAGTTTTGGAAATTACATGTGCTAGATGAGGGTTAAATTATTGAAATACTGTTTTCTAATATTCGATTCAAAAGATTTACATAGTATGAACCTTTTAGAAAAAAATCTTATATGACTTTTAAAATAAGTTAAATTGATCAGTAAAAGTAAATGCAAAAATGATGAATAATTTTTCTTAAGTTTGCAATTTTATTTGCCACTGTAGTATGTATAGAAGCAGGGATATTTCAATAGAAGAATCAGATCCAAAGGATAAAAACCTATTTAATTTGATAAATTAATAATGGTAGTGTTTTGGGAAGTATAGTACCTGAAGGCATTAAAAGAGGGATACCAATGTAATAATTCAGAACTCTAATTAATGGACATAGATACTTAAATAGTTAAGTCCTGATAGAGAACACTGATATGTATTTGCTTATTTACACTTCCTGGTATTTTTCATATGACAAGACAGGCATTTCTGGCATTTCTACCCAGTAAACCAAAGGTATTTCTGGATTATAATCTTTAAAATGCTTTAAATCCAGGGAGCATAACATAACAAAGTTATCAAACTGTTACTAAAGAACATTCCCATCTTTGTATTAAGGATGTGAAAATACTGACGAGCAGAAGCTTACTGAGATATTAACTTTATCAGTCCTGTAGGACTAGCTGTTGTGTAAACTGGAACTATTACTTGGGATATTGAGAGGGGGAAATGCAGATCTATGGGTAATCTCAGAGCCTCACTTTTAAGAGTGTTGAGCACAGGCTTAGCTCTTCATTTTTTATTGTTTTTAAACAGCTGTTTATCACCTCAAATCTACTGAACCTACCCAGATGGCAGGGTTCAGGAAAAATGCACCTATCTCTCCATTTAAAGTCCTGTAAGTTAAGGGTTTAGCAGTGGGAACGTTGGACAGCAGGATTCTAATTCAGAGGTTTGTAGGCGTGTTGTCTTCCTGATGGAGTAACATCAGGTTTGAGAAGTTTCTGCTTATCTCAGAGCTTCCTGAGTGTTATAAACCAGGTAAGCCTCCTATCTTAATGATAGAGGAGAGTTTTATCAAAAGGCTTCTCCTTTAATTTTGGGGAGCAATTTAAACCAAGTTTCACCATGTCTAAAACAAATCTCATCAGTCCTCGGGCTGAGAATTGTTTCATAGTAGTAACCTCACTGCACAGACATACAGCTTCTGACGCTTCAGCTCCGATGTTCTGCTTCTCATTTGGAGGGGTAATTATTGTTTGAAGGGTTTCTTTCCTCCAGTCAGCTGACACTCAGGATTTATTGCAAACTTCAACTATTTAGGCCAGTGACACATCGCTTATAATAAGAATTCAAAAAAAAAAAAGGCAAAAAAACTTAAATATTTCAGTTTAAAAATATACCTCTCAGTAATGCTTCATCAAGAGGTATTCCTGCCTTGTTATTTATGGTTATTTTAGAAGGCCTCAAAACCTGCATGGCTTCTGAAGCCAGAAATTTCCATAGCAGAGGAATCTATGATTTGCTGTGAATCCTTTCAGCCCTCAATAGATGGGAAAAGATTGAAATGCTCTGGAGAGGAGTCCTCTTTATTTTTTTAATGAAAGGCTGTATAATATATTTTCTCTATGGCTGCAGCAGCTGTCAGGGAGAGCATCTCAGTTCAGCTCTATTACGGGAGAGGCAATACCCCATCCTATGGCATCGAGATGCTCTGAGGGGCCAGAGCTGATTGACAGCTTGTCACCGTGACGTCTTATTCCATCTCTGTTATGGAGAAAATTAATGTCACACCACCAGCCTTATGACTCGCTGTCATCTTAGAACCGCTCACCTTTTATCAATGCTCTAAATAACATTTCAAGCCCATCGTCTCACGGTGGACAATCCGGTCAAGGGACATTAAATCAGATGACTGTGAAATGTCATAATAAAAATGGAATGCTAACAACTTCTTCTCTAAACTAGCTCCTCTGGTTTTTAAACTGTGACAAGGGGGAGCAGGGGTTCAGCATACCCGTTCTGAAAAGGTCATACAATCGCTCTTGGTCTACTACCCATTACTACCCGCCCCCTATTGACCTTCGCTGCTTTCCTCCCCACCAAAAGAAAAAAAAAAGAAAAAGAAAAATGGAATTAGCCATCTTTTCAGAATGAGGTGATCAAATAATGGCTCACACAGTAATGTCTGTTTAATTTGTGGGGCTTCAATGCTTCACAATGAACAACCGAATGACAGAAATAGACAGCTTTTCCAGGGGTAATTCATTTACTTTTCTCACTCTGGCCAGTGCCAAATTAAATTCTTAAGTTTCACCTAAAACTTAAAAAAATACACATGTTCTCCCAGGAAAACATATAAATAATTCTCCAAATAACCTCCTCTATATGTTTCTCTGAAACAAGTGTTGTTTCAGACATGATACGGCATTCATTCATCTCATAATCTGTATAATAAAAAGGAAATGCACTGAAACCATACTTGTATTGCTATTGTAATTATAACACATGTGCTATACCGCATATACAGTAGATTTGTAGCAACTATGTCTCTAGAGGGACATACAGGTCTATGTTTGAAACGCAGGGCTAAAAAAAAAAGATATATTTAGAGATGGTTCACTTTTTAATATGTTGAGCAGCATATTTGGAGAATTAGCCCAGGCATCCACATAGTATTTTACATTTTATTAAACAATAACTAACATTTGAAAGAAGGTACGAAAACAAATATTCAAATTCTGAATGGAAATGGCTGATTTAAGGAAGCTCATCCAGCAAAAAGAAAAAAAAAAAGAATCAATAAAAGTTGGATTATTTCTAATTACCTAGCCTGCAGTATCATTCTAATATATGGGATAATATCAAATATTAATCCATAAAATACAGTATCATAATACCTAGACTTTTTATATCAATATACCAATTAATTCCTTTAAAATGGTTTCAATTCACAAGGCTTACTTCTGGCAACAGGAGAACATGTTTTTGTAGGTACCAAAATGTGAAATCATTCTCATAATTGCAATTACATATTAGAAGATGCCCAACAATACGTTGGGCTCTTAGGTGGTTTAAAAATATATACTATTTAGCCTTGCTAAGTCACCTCTATTAAACTGTTTATGATAACACCATTGGTGGATGAGTTGTACAAGCATTAGCAGACAGCTGATTCAGTGGAGATAGCCAGAATAAATTTGCTGAAGCGCACATCCTGCTAATCTGTTTGAAGAATATTGTAGAGCATTAGTACCAGCACTTCATGTTATCTGCACAGCCTGATAAGGTACATCTTTATTAAATTCAGTTATTGGAAGGATGTCAGTCAGCAAATAGGAATATTTTAGAATCCAAAAAAAAAAAAAATTAAGCGCCTCTTTGTTAGTCAGAGCTTGGTTTCATGGCTGAGTGTCTAGAGGAGCCTTCTAAACACCTGGCAGCATTGTACAATACAAGCTTTGTAATTTTAAGTGGAAAAGCTTTTTTTCCCAGCTTCATGGGTACCGAAGCATTCACTTTTTCGAGGCTCCATTGAGACAGAATGGTGGAGTAAGAGCTCCCCTCTCTGTTGATTCACGAAAACTGCATGGTGGAAAATGTACGATGTGAGGACGCTGGGAAATAGGTAGATTTGGTTGTATTTTGCTTTGGTGAAATTTGAGAAAGGTACTTACTATAGTGACTCTCTATTCCACTCTATCACTCCACAAATGATCAAAAGGTAAGGAGGCTTCCTTTTAATTATATTTCACATTCAATTAAAATAAGATAAAGGAATGAAGTGAGGCTCTTCTAAGCAGTTGAAATAAAAATTCTTTCTGTGAATATCCTCTCGTTACCAAGCTACTAATTAATGTAGGTGTCATTAATTCCATTTCAAACTTGGAAAGACAAAGAACTCTTAATTTGCAATTACAAAGGGTCAATGAATTAATTTTGAGGTAATGTTCTGTATACTTGACTTTCCTTTATGAGAAGTTGCCTTGCAGGAGAGTTGTGCTGCATGACAAAATCACTGTGGAGAGGCTCAGAATCCAGAATTTGGTTTGGAAGAGATTCTAGAGAAGAGCAGGTGTGCAGACCTCAGGTAACACAAGGGCTTGTGCAAAGATAGGCATGGCACGTGCATTTGGCCAGCTGTCTGTTTCTACTGATTTGTCTGTCACACAGCCTTCCAGATGTACTTCTGTCACTCCAGGTCAATTATTTATCACCTCAACTAGTCACACATAACCCTGAAGGAGGAGGGTTACATACTTACATATCTCCTTAAGATTTCCTCCCGTTCTTTCTGGTCCTCCAGGGAGTTGACGGAGAGGTCAGAGATGCTGACTGTGGCCGAAGCTGTCAGGGTGACCAGCAGCACCAGGTGTCCCTCACCCTCTTCCAGTTGCAACTCCAACTTGTGTGTCTGTTCCCTACTGAGGGCCGACAGGTCCACCTGGCATCTAGAAACAAATGTTTTGAATTAGCAAATGGCTTTTCTTTTTTCTTTCTTTCTTCCTTTTTTTTTCTTTCTTTTTTTTTTTTTTGTTACATCAAACAGTGAAAGTGCAGGCTGCTCAGAGCTATGTGAAAAATAAAATCAAATCAGTAGAAATACTATTTGAACCACTGGAATAATACATCTTTATTTCAGCACACTTTCTTCACAAATTCAGATGCTGATTATTTTTAGTGTCTAACTTTTATTTCTGTAAGATACAAAAAACATGCTTATTTGATTCTATTCCTACCCGTTATTACCATATTCATAAATCGATAGGGACTTTCAAACCCTGGATGGCCTAGTTTAGTGGGGCTTTGCCTACAAAAAGATTAACATGAGCTGTCTGGAGAGGCAAACCGCCAAGAATCTGAATTCTTGTGTAGGTTTTAAACCGATGGGTGTTCTTCCTTCATTCATAAATATTATTTAGCAACGAAAAACACATGTACTTTGATGATGCCATAAGTTTCACATGTTTAAAATCATGCCAATTTATTCACAGAACACCATGCATAAATCTAAATAAAAATAAATCCCCCCAAAACATTATAGCTCAAGGGTTATGTAGCAGCATTTTCTAACAGAGGTTTCATTACATGGCAGCCCATGCTTGATAACCTATTCTCTCAGAGCTAAACACCTTGAAATGTCTTTTCACAAAAATGTCAATTGACTTGGAAGAAAAAGATACTAAGGTGATCACAAAGCCAATAAACTGAGAGAAAGGGGACAGACATGAACGAAAGGCATTTAAGACAGAAAATAGCCAATTATAAGAATAAATATGATAACCTATCGTAAACAGGGGAGTCAGATATCAGGGACTGATTAAATTTTTGCTCTATCTTGTTCTTTACTTCATTGTCTATTGTTTTGCTTTTAAATGAAATATCTATGAATAGGGCCTCAATGCTTATAGTCAGGTTCAAACATCTCTTTAGTATGAGTAAATTTAGAAATTGAACCAAAGCCTGACATTTTGTTTTACTTGTGCCAATCAAAATGACAAGGGAGATAGCTGGGACGAGAAACAACTGAGAGGAAGAGGAGTACAGTGGCAAGAAAGGAAAAGAAAAAGAAGTGCCCTGGTCAGGGACAGAAAGTCCGTGTACGTAAATGCTAACTATCCGAGAAAGAGCAGGAAATCAGCGTCAGCACCAAGTCTGGAAAACACCTTCCTAAAGTGAAAACATATATCAAATAATTTCATTGTTGCTATGAATACAACATGTATTTCAAAATACTTTCACGCTGTCTCTTTAAACTCCCAAGGCTGAAAAAACATACCTAATCCTTGCCTAATATTCTAATTTTAATTGGAATTAAGTTCTTGTCAATAGTACTTGGAACAAATTGAGGAGAAAGATGCGATGGTGATAAACCATCAAATGCATTCTCTAATAAAAAGAAAAATGGTCAACGTGATTTTCTGCAGATCTTTTCAGCAACTCGCAGAGTGTCTCACCTATAGTTTGTTGAAGGCGAATGAATCTTTGGATTGGACTGGGAGTACGATACAAGGGAATCAAACATGGGTTACAATTCACACAGTACTTTTGGCTGGATAAAGCTGGGAACAAGAAAGGTCTTTCACTCATTTGGATCCTGCATTTCCCAGTCCTGTCCTTGCCTTACTCTTCCATATGACACTGCATCACTCTTAAAATACACTGAAGTGTTCTGGAAGGTTTCTTTCTATGGCTATTGCCATTTTACATGGGTCATATGGATGCTGGCCTACTACTTATTTATGTTAGAGGCACTATGTTTGATGCTCTAGTGTTGGGGAAGGTGCTCTAAAGATGATCTAGCCCAAGAATTGCAAATTGGCAACTTTCAGATCACATCTGGTCCATGGATGTGCTGTTTTTGCTTGTAGTGCTAAAAATAAATTTCCAATTAAAAACATTTTAAAACAGAGTAAATGATCTCTGACTTAATTACTGTCCCTAAAACTGTCTATTATTTACAGCTGGCCTATTTCACTTAATTCTGTATGATTCAAATAGGCATAGGTATTTGTGATCCTCACAATCTCCTTAATTTAGCAGTAAGAAAACTGAAGCCCAGAGGAGTTACATGACCAATGGAGATATAGTTTGTTGTTACAGAGCTAGGACTGAGAACTTGAATGATGGAATCCAAGATCTAGGCTTTTTCCTGGGTTGTCTTCACTAAGTAACCGTGTATACCAGGAGAAAGTGTGTCTGTTTGCAGTGGTTCTTAAACTGGATGAAATCTGGACTTATTTCTGACAGAAAAAAAGTATCTCAATTTTCAAGCATGGAAATATGTTATATTATACTTTTAAAATATATATAAACTATGGAAGAAGAATGTAAGTTATTGCTCTTAGAAGAAGATAAACTAAAAAAAAGATAAACTCAGAAAAATTGGATTTTAAAAACTACGAAAATAATAAAACTTAACATTGTAAATTAATAGCGAGGATTATGCTCTTCAGCTGCAACTAAAGTTTCAATGTTGGATATTCTTGTAGAAATAGTTTCCAATTTTGTCCTATATTTAATGTTTCAGAATTTTGACTAAATAATTCCAATGTAGAAAATGCCTATTTATATAAATGTTATTAGAACAGAGTGTTAATGACTCCAAAGTTCTTGTTGTTTGGCTTATTCAGCTCTTCTATTCCTCCAAAAACTCTGCTCAGGAGTAATCCTCAGGTGCCATTTTAAATGAAATGTCACCTGATAATTGAGTAAAATTGTCTTGTTAACTTGAGAATAAAGTTAGCATTATAGCATGACTGATATCTGCATTAAATGGGTATTAAATCAAATTATTGTTGGAATTTGGTGGGAAAAAAGCCTTTGCTACTCCTTTGTTGCTGTTGAATAAATATGTACAAAGATGGAACTCCTGCAGAACAGTCTATTGCAAAGTGAATCCAGTACTTATCGCTATAGGTCAGCGTCATAGTTTGAATGTTTGTCTCCGGGGATCCCTGGGTGGGGCAGCTGTTTGGCGCCTGCCTTTGGCCCGGGGCGCTATCCTGGAGACCCGGGATCGAGTCCCACGTCGGGCTCCCGGTGCATGGAGCCTGCTTCTCTCTCTGCCTGTGTCTCTGCCTCTCTCTCTCTCTCTGTATGACTATCATAAATAAATAAAAATTTTAAAAATCCATATTTGAATGTTTGTCTCCAAAATTCCTATGTTGAAACCTACTGGCCAATGTGATGGCAATAGAAGGTGGGGTCTTTGAGAGGGAATCAGGTCATGAGGGTGGAACCTTCATGAATGAGATTAGTGCCCTCATAAAAGAGGCCCCAGAGCAATCCCTCACCCCTTCGCCATGTAAGGACACAGAGAAAACACAATAGTCGGTGAACCAGGAAACCAGACACAGAATCTGCTGGTATCTTGATCTTGGACTTACCAGCCTCTAGAATTGTGAGAAATAAATTTCTGTGGCTTGCAACCACCCAGTCTGTGGTAGTCTGGTATAGCAGCCCAACAGGCAGATTCACCTGTATTTAGCTCACCTGTATGTCCTAAAGAAAGAAAGGGTTCACTATAGTTTGGATATAGAAGTCCTTGGTGGTCATCTGGATGGTCAGAACAGGCAGCAATTAATAGTTTCATATGATTATCAAAATGAAAATGCAAAATTTAAAAAGCCCTGAAGCAAATTCATGAACTCCCAAAGTATATATACAGATATGTATACAGGGAAAAGAGCTCAGGATTGGGAGTCAGATTCCCTTGGGTCCAGCCCCCCCATCTGTCACTAATTAGCTGTATGACCTTTTCCAACTTATCCTCTTGAATTCCAGTTTCCTCATCTGTGATATGAACTAGAGGAACTTACAGATTCCTGGAAACCCCAAATTTCACAATTTGTTACAATCCTACTTATGTTCACACTTGTTTACATCTTCCTGTCTTTGCAATTCCACAAACCAAACAACTAAGAGAACAAATTCATCTTATAGGAAATATTATTCCTCAAATGTACTACCCCCCCTAAAAAGTCTTAAAGTTGATTCTAGAAGGCAGATAATGTAATCTATTTTTAAATTGTCTTCAAAGGAATGGGGTGTCTGAGTGGCTCTGCTGGTTAAGCATCTGCCTTCAGCTCAGGTCATGATCTTAGGGTCCTGGGATCGAGCCCCCATTGGGCTCTCTGCTCAGCAGGGAGACTTTTCCCTCTCTCTCTCTCTCAAATAAATAATATTTTAAAAAATAAATTGTCTTCCAAGGAACATTAAGGGGTACCTCAAAAATCACCATGGAGAGGAGAAGGGTAAAAAATAGGGTGTGCTCTCATCTTTGGTTCAAAGAACAGCTCCTCTTACATCTGTTTCACATTGGTGTTCCACATGTTGGTTTGAAAAGCTATTGGATACATCTATCACCCCCTAGAGTCTTTTTCTTTTTAAGATTTTCATTTATTTATTCATGAGAGACACACACAGAGGCAGAGACATAGGCAGAGGGAGAAGCAGGCTCCCTGTGGGGAGCCCGATGCAGCACTTGATCCCAGGACCCCAGGATCATGCCCTGATCCAAAGGCAGATGCTCAACGACTGAGCTGCCCAGGCGTCCCAACCCCTTAGATTCTCCTGGAGCCATAGCCTCTTGGATCCACTGCTGCCTGCTTTGCCACAGCTGTGACTTTGGCTATGCCTTCCTAAGGGACTGCTTTTCATCCTACCACCATGACCAATTAACTGTGCTTGGGTCTTCATTGGGCTTTCACCTAGGACTGGCTCAACTTTCACTTGCCAAAATAAACTGGGGGCTCTCCTTGGCTGCCACTGTGCATCTAGGTCTTACTGCAACACGTTCCAAGTTTCTGGCTTCTAAGACCATCTATGCTTGGATGAAAAGCCACACTGTAAGTTGTGGGATCTGGCTCCTTGATCACCTGTCAAAGAAACCAGATGAAACAATGCAGCAATTGTCTTCTTTGGGGTAAACTTAAATGGGTGGAATAGG